TCGAAAAGGTTTTACAAGCACTAATCGATCTCTCTCACTTATACAGGTTTGCTCTCTCTCTAGAAAAGAAGCGTTACCAGAAGAGATATCTTAACAAGCATTATATAGAAGATCTCTATCACCAGAAGATAAGCACGAGGAGATTATGTACTCCTATACTTCAGCTTCAAGGTGTTATCTCTAGTTCTGATGTTATCTCGATCTCTTCTTCTCTTGGGCCATTGTGGACTCTTGGCCCAGCTTGTCTCTTGTAATTTCATAATCTGTGTAAGCCCAATAAGCCCAAATGTTACCTTATTGGTTTGAGAGTAGATTTGTCTGGTTTGGTCTGATTTTGGACAAGGCAATTAGATTCACAGATTGCTTATTCACATATGTTACTACACGAATATGAGCGTATATATTATTTACTGAAGTAATGATATTTTAAATGAGATGACCAAACTATCTTATATAAGTAGTCCAAGTTACAAATGAGGGAGGGTAGTGTTACGAATACAACTAGTAAAGAGAGTAAGAGCACGTATGGGTTGGTCACTAGGCACACTGTGACCTGCTCCTCTCACTGTTGCATATGTAAAGTTTCCTTTGTATTCCTCTGTATACCCTCCCACTTCTCTTTCGCTAAACCATGGGCGCCATGTCTTCTCAACTGTTAAATTCAACTTCTCAAACATGTGCATTGTAGATATCACCGACACCATAGCGTCTAAGTCTCCACTGTACACCAATATTCGAATACCCTTTCCCATCAGCTCGTGGAGGGTAGGAAGCATTGAGGCATACCTATCTGTTGAATTATAATACATTCCRRTATYATCCWTGCATTGSCTCCACGGGTACGRTAGTTTCGTGGTGTTGGCATGCATTGCTTTTTGAACATTTTCCCTATTAAGATATGTCGTCATGTAGTGTGTACTGCATGGATCAAACTCTGTTACGGTTGTGTATTTCTTTGGCATGCTTGTCAACGTGGAGTTTAAACACACATGAGCATATATGTTGTAGAGGTTTAGTTGTCGTGTAAGCATACTAATTTTAGCATCCGCCTTCCCGCACTCGCTATTACACATCCCTGTCGATAACCAATTCTTTGGTAATATAAGCATGACCCACCAAATATTCATCATTACTCTTTGATTCTATCTCGTCGTCAAATCCTGGATTACCAAGAATCATTCCTCGTAGGTTAATGAAGGTTTGGGTTTTCCGGTGAAGGATAATCTGGGCAAGTTGGGGACCATAATGACCACCGTAACTTTGAGCCGCGATGTAAAACTCTCTTCCTTTATACTCTGGAAACCTTTCTAACCACTTCACCAAAAACATATAGTTGTCTTCTGCTGTAAGCGAGTCTCCCTGACTGTTAAACTCTGTAAATGGAGTATTTGTGTACGAAAATCCTACTTGTACTGGTGCTTCTACATACAACATGTTTGCTTCTGCGAATCCACACATAATCAAATATTTACTCATATGATTATAACCTTTTTTTGTTAAAAATAATATATTGCGTGAACATAATCAGATAAAAAATGTGAAATATACCGTTGTTCCATGAATAAAGATTGTGATAAAGCGTTTTGCCGTCACTGTGAATACGGAAGGGTCCATGACTTTGAAATGCTGATGTGAGAGAAGAACATCCAGGTCTTGCATATTGTTTTTTTAAATATTTGTTTTTAGTGGACAATACATTTTCAACGCTTTTTAGCTAAAAAAAAATTACACTTAGATAATAGCAAGAGGTTGGCTATAAGATCATATGCATATGATGTTAAAACCCAATGAGAAAAATAATAACAAAAAAATATATAATTAGTTCCAATAAAAGAACGTTTGTTGTAAAATATGTATATATATACCTCCGTTGAACCAAATAACAAGAGGTGAAGAGTCATTAGTTTTGATGGATTCCACGAAATAATAGTATAAAAATTGACCAGCTGATTCGTTGACGGCCGCATAACCACCATATTGTCTAAACTTAACAGAAGGTTGCCCGGGAAGCTTTTTGATTAGATCTTTCTTCTTTAACTTTTGCTGGTTAACATAGCTTACCGTTGTACGAAAAGAAGGGTCGTTTATGCGACGAATCGCATTGAAATGAGTTTGCCTCGTATATTGGATTTGGGATGCCAAAGATAGGAATAGAAAAACACAAGCTATTAAAGACCAGTTTTGTTGTTTTTCCATTTTATGATCTTTATTGAATATTTTGTAAGGTATGAATTTTATAGATACATTTTCTTAGGTTTTTACAGCTATTTTAACCTTTATAGTAGAGTTGTAAAAATTAGTTTTTTTAATTAGAAAAAAACAAATTTTCCTTTTTTTTTTAACATAACAACTTCTTAGAATAATTTAGTCTAAAAAAACATGTATTACTGGAACAAGACTTATGTATTCAAACTTATCAAATGGTTTTCTTTAAGTCTGCCTTTGTCTTGGTAACATGGTTCACTCGGGTAGTCCGTGCTGGTAACCTAAATAATATATGGATCCTGAAGCCAAAACAAAAGAACTCTTGGTTAGCTAACAAGCTGTTAAAATAGGCTCCACCGCAATACTTTCAACTTGTAGGACAAGCTAATCCAACAGATTGACCTAACGATTAGGAACCGAGCCTCTTTGTTCCGTGAATCCTACCCAACTCTTGTATTACAACTCTAGCTCTCGGGATCTTCTTCCTCTCGATAAAGCTGAGAATGCCCCTCAATAACTATTCTCTTGCCACTCTGTTATCACCTGTAAAAAGTGGTTGGCACGGTATTGATGTTTCAACCAACTAGAAATCTTGTTCGGTTCGCTTTCTGGTTATTCATTAACTACTTGGATCTGTATTTGAGCAATATTTAGATTTTCAAAACTGGATCATTAGTAGGTTGCGTTTTTTAACAGTTTTATTTTTTGGCTTTAAATAGAATACATTTTCTCAAAAGAGAAAAAGAAATAAAATCTCAACAACGCTACGTAGTATTCATACATGGCTCTATTCATACATATGATTTTTTTTTTATAAGATATTTAACTTGTTACATGAAAGTATACTGAATAAGGTTCTTTTTAAAAAGGATGCAAATATCATTATAAAATAAAATGATTTGTAAATAATTATAAACTATTGCTTAACTAACCAAGAGGATTAACCTTGCCAAAAATATAATAAAATTAAGATGAATCCTAAGACTTTGAAGTACTATCATGAACCAGGGAGCCAAGATCGCACTAAATATCTTAATGTTCTCCTTCACCACTTTGCAAAGATTGTATCTATGATATAGGGGTCGATTGTTTTGAAGATCGACTCTGTGATTTACAAGTTGTAGATAATTGCTTTATCACTACAGGAAAACAAAAGGTTTTTGCTATCAATTTACGAGAAGAAGTAAAATGAGTAACAAAAGTAGCGGCCGTTTAGCTACGGAAATCATTAGTCTGCATTGAGACATAATTTGCGTTAATTTA